ATTCTTTGCTTCAGCTGAACAGCGTTACCTGCAACAGACACTAACCATTTCTCAATTCTTCTCACTAAATAATGCTATTATAAGAAGCTCTGTATCCTGCCAGTCATCACATCAATGCTTGTTCTTAATCTTCCCCCAAAACAGACAATTATTGCCTTACTTTTCTAACATGCAATTTTCCTTTGACAATCCAAAAATACAGTAAAAATATTACAAGAGATGAAGGCAAAGTTTCGGTTTTGCATGTTCTCAGAAATCTGTGAAAAGTTATTTTCCCACAGTACCTCTGTATAGGGTCTCTTTTCTCCCACTGGTTCTCTTGATAAGCTTTTTTCTCCAAAACAGTGGAAAAGCTTTGTCGGAGAGAGCAAGTCTTTTGGCAAGATACAGAATATAATAGCTCTCAAGAACGCATAAGTATTTGGGGGTTTTATTGGTAGTGTTGTTGTTTTGGTTTGGTTTGTTTTTTTTGGTTGGTTGTTTGGTTGGTTTGTTGGTTGTTTTTTTTTTTAGATGAGAGGCTCCTAGGACCTATTGCAGCATGCCATCTTTCACTGATTTGCATTTGATATTAAGTTAACAGTAAATCTGAATCCTGCAAATCCAATTTAAAATTTAAAAGAATTTCTTGCCTAGAAGCTGTGTTGATGGCTTTTCTACTTGGAGACATAGGAATTATATATTGTGGTTTTAATACGAGACAGCATAATAGGCATTGCCATCAGTGCAGTCTTACAGCAGCAAATGTTTACAAATTAGTACCATATGCTGATTCTAATAGGGCAAATTTTATTTAAAATAATTATCAGACTTTTCACCTTTTTAAAATGAAATTTGGGTTTAGGCAGCTTTAATATAGATTTAATATGTTTAATATAACAGATGATCAAATAAAGCATACCAAAATTGCTCTTATTAAAAATCTGGAAAACCCACAACACAACACAAACATGCCTGCTCCCCAGCTGGAATGTACTTGCCCCCTTACTGACCATGATACCAGCCATCCATGAAATGCAGGACAGCTGATAGTTTCAAGACTGCATCTGCATCACAGACAGGACTGTAGATGTCAAAAAATATAATTTGGGATGGATAGGAGTTGCACAAAGGCGCGTATTTTTTCCTTGGATTACAATCTCAGTACAGCAGTCTCTGTAGCATGTTGGATTTGATATGGCAAGTGAAACAAGGGGCGAAAGGGGGAAAAAGAATCTTGGAACAAAAGAGTTAGGATGGGAAGTCTGGAAATGTAATTGTGGGCTTCAGCAGGCTCGCATGACCTTCGTGAGGCTGTCTGCCTTGTGAAGGCTGCAGAGCCAGCCGCAGAGCCAGCTGGAGCACAGCAGCCGGGAACAGAGCACAAACTTGGTTTTGCAGGTTGCTGAGTAATTTTGCAGACAGCAGTGACCTCAAGTTGCTGTGGTTACATTTCCTCTGATCTTCAGCTGGTTACTGTAAAACTAGTCCTAAATAGGACTGCTGTGGCAGCAGTGAGGACGTGTACTGACTCACAAACTCGTCTGTATTCCCAAGTGTGCAGAACATCTAATAACCTCCTGAGAGGAGGTGTGGTGCCGTAGGAATAAGTCTGTTAATGAAGTGCCCCGAGCTGTCTGATAAAAGGGTTAACATTTCTATTAGATTGAGTACTGCTGTGGCTATAAACTGAGCTGGTGTTGAAACCTCATTAATCAGCTAAAATATTGTTCTTATCATAGTTCCAGAGTCATATTTTAATAGTCAGTAGTCCTGAACCCATGGTCTGAGGAAAGGAAGATGCCCACAGACCTTTTAATAGTGCTTGTAGCCATGAGAAGCCACTGCTCTGATCCAGGCTGACAGAAAGAGCAAAGCCTTTTCTCACCCAGAATTACTGCCTGTGCATCTGAGGTTAGGTAACATTAGTCTAAAGAATACTTAAAATAAGAGCACATGGTTTTCTTTAGGGGATTTTGTTTTAGAGGCTTAATGTAGTTTATTTAAGGGAATAGTGAAAATGATCTCCTGAACAAGGACGTACGGGGAGTCTGTGAAATGAACCATACAGAGAAGCAGCAGCAGAAATAAGTTAAAGCAGATGTACCTGACTGAACCTGGAGCTGTTAGTCAGGTAACAGAAGTGATCTGTCAGTGCCTACCATTACAGAAGATAAATTTGCACCATCCATTTGATATTGCCATGAAAGATGTGAATACAAAACTCTAATTTCTCGTATTTGTAATACAGGAAGTTTAAGTAAAAGGGTCACTGCAAATAAAGAGATAGGGAGAAATTTCCACATTTATGCAAAACTCATCCTGCCCTTCTTTCATTCGCTAGGGCAACATTATCACAACCTTTTTCAAAGGAAGGGTTTTTTGGATTTAAAATTATATCATGCCTTATTAAAGTGCGTGAGACTCCTAATACTAAGTAGGTAGAAATAATTTGTTCCCCTTGGTTAGTAGAATTTAATAGTTTCTTGCCATAGACTTTTATGTGTAAGAAGGCTTAGCTCTAGCCCTGGAAGACAATGAAAGCCATTAAGCTCCAAGCAAATCACGGGAAGCACTCAAAACCTTGCCAAGTGTTTCCGTTCTTTTTTAAATTACAAAGACATAAATGCTGAAAGTATTTTTCCTACTGTGTTTTAAGTGAAGTACTGATCTTTCAGCCCTCAGAAAGATCCCCCTGTTCCCATTGAAATACATGGAACAACTTGTGGGAAATCAGTGGGATTGCTCATGCGAATAACATGTACGTTCTCCAGAAAGTTATTCTTAGTGCTTCTCTAATAACACAGTGTTGGAGCCCAATTTGAATGAGACTCGCTGTGATATGAGCGTGCTCTGAAGCTCAGTATAGCAGTGCTGTAGGTTACCTGACGTCTAGGTTTGTTAATTATGGGCTGAAGCCCCAGATGTGATTCAGGGAGTATGTAGGAAGAGGGCTCACAACAGGCTGCAGCAAACCAAGGAAACACTGAAGAAAGTCTCCAGTTCAAGGCTACCAGGACTTACAAGAGTAACTGTGGCTGCAGTAGGGCTCAAATGAGAGAAAGGGATTAATAGCCAATTATCATTGCCCCAGGTGAGCTGCCTACATTTCTTCTTTAGGGTAACAGATGAGTAGTTCACAGGGATAGCAGGTTAGGATAGATGTTGAGGAAGTGCTGACACCCCCATCTTTTTAATTAAAATTTTAACCACTATTTTAGTCAGGATGTGGGCAACCAAAGTCCAGTCACTCCCTTTCTATGGGCATTCATAATTACCTTGCACTGAGAACCAAATCCAGTGAGACAGGCTAACCCTAGGCACCATATCCTCCACCCCAGCAGCCCCAGTGCTCTGCAGGCAACAGCAAAGCCTCCGTGATTCTCTAGGACAGAGGAGCACGAGAGGGGCTCACTGTTATAACAGGGGCTCACAGCTGATCTAGTGGTGAGAGAGAGCAGATGTGGGGTTTGAGCCCTGCTGCATAGATCATTTTGGTACTTCATTTCCTGGCCGTTAACACAAAATCTTTAAGCAGTCATTCAGGAAGAGCTGAATGACTGCTGAATGAAGACCCCAGCTTCTTCCATAACGGCACTTTAAAGATGGGGGCTCCAGAACCATGCTCTTCCTTTGGCTCTGTAAGATCTTTTCTGCACAGTGGTGAATCTGCATTATTAATAAAAGCATTTGTATCTGCCATTGTGCACCAAAGCCATCCTTTGTTCTGCTCTAGGCATGACTGGACAAGCCTGGGGACAGTCTGGCACTGAGATAAAGAGGTCTTCAGTCAGTGTCTGCATGAGAAATCTATCCACAGCATCCTCCAGGTCATCTTCTGGAGTCTGTGGCATCACTTCAAAGACAAATAAATCCTTTGGTCAGGAAATGCATGAAATTAGTTGGCTGAAGGTGTCCCTCATTGGTATTTTAAAACTGAAAAACTCTGGAGCCTTCTGGAGAAGAAGTTCAGTGGAAGATCCTGTAGCACGCAGGCTGCCTGGCAGAATTGTCCCATGAAGAGTAAGGGCTGTGGGATTAAGCATTGTGTGAAGTGAGCAGACCTGAACCTGGACCTTCTGCTTCTAAGTTTCTTCTATGGCCACCAGACAAAAGTTGGCTTGTCTGCTCCTTCACTCACCCTGACAGCCTCAGCAACAGTTAGCCTCTCGACCAGTTTCGTGTCTGTTTAGTCTGTAATCTGCAATTTCCTTTAGCCAGGAGATAGGTGCCAGCAACTTGATTACTACCACATCACCCCTGGGCACACAGGCACACAGAATAAGAATTTTGTCTCCATTAGTCTTTTAGTGAAACTGCCGAAGTATAATTTCTGGTCAGAAAAAAAAAAAAAAAAAAAAAAAAAAGGGCTCAAATGTCCAAATGTCCTTTTATGAACCTTAGAAGGTCAGCTGAGCAGAAAGGGAAGAGGAGTTTGGGAAGCATGTTCTGTGAGTGAACAGGATTACAAACACACATACCCAAAAATTCACTGAGTAGATAGATGCACAAAGATCCAAATCCTGAGCTAATAATATGCTTCCAATACTTTCCATAGCTACTATTATTTGCTATGTTACCTCACGGTGTGTTGGACTGACAGGCTAAAACAGAAATGAAGGACTCACCTCTCCATGCAGTCCAAGGAAGATCAACTCCCGATTGTGCTGCAAGGGTAAAACAAAGTGGCTGTGTGCTTATTACAGATGGTGTTTCTCATTTAGCCATGAGTCCATTTGTTGTGGACTGAAAAAGGAAGAATGTGCTCTGCAAGGTCTTTTTCTGAACTGCTCATAAGCAAAGGTTTTGCAATCTATGGTAATCAAAGGTAATCCATGGCTTACCATTTATTATTGTTTTATGGGAAAGGTTCGATGACTTTTAACCTGATATTGCTCCTTTAAAAAATACATATGTGTATATTCTAACATTCCAAAGCCACGTTTGCCACGTGTTGATATGGACAAACTTTCAGATGGTAGCTGCTGTGTCTAACTTTCTGTGTCTGTTTACAATTTCAGGAGCACAGAAGTCATGAGTACTGTCTCAGGTACACGAAGTACAACAATCACTTTTACTGTCCGACCTGGAACCAGCCAGCCGATCACACTGCAGAGCAGGTCCCCAGACTATGACAGTAGGACCTCAGGAGCAAGACATGCTCCAAGCCCTGTGGTTTCACCAACAGAGATTAATAAAGACATCATGCCTGCTCCTCTGACTGCTTCTGCTTCAGCTTCATCTCCTTCTCCAACTTTGTCCGATGTATTTAGCCTACCCAGCCAGCCCCCTTCTGGGGACTTATTTGGCTTGACCACAGGGCGCAGCAGGTCTCCTTCTCCCTCAATATTACAACAGCCAATCTCAAATAAGCCTTTTACAACTAAGCCTGTCCACCTGTGGACTAAACCAGATGTGGCAGATTGGTTGGAAAGTCTAAACTTAGGTGAACATAAAGAAACATTTATGGACAATGAAATAGATGGCACTCATTTACCAAATCTACAAAAGGAAGATCTGATAGACCTTGGAGTGACTAGAGTTGGGCACAGAATGAACATAGAAAGAGCTTTGAAACAGCTGCTGGACAGATAAGAATAGCTATTTTGCCTCACAAACTTCTGTTGATAACTAGAGATGGGCTGGTACTGAAATACCCCAAATGCCTTGTCTGTCTGCGAGTGCCAGCAAAATTAGGGGGGGAAAAACAGTTTAATTCCTGGTACTCAGGTAATGCAGACTGTATGCTACATGCCCAAACGTAAATCTAAATATGTACACGAGTGGGGCCATTTTATTTCAAAGTTGTGGGGAGATATGAGAGAGAGAGAGAAAATTGTTAACTTTAAAAATATTACCATCTATTGATAATACCCTTCTGCTGGAACCATTACATACCACTTTTCTTTCATCTTAAAATTGCAAGCAATTTTATTTTATTTTTTTTAATTGAAAGGCACTGTATTCTCTTCTTGACATTCATTCAGTCTCCCAGCAGGCTTCCTTCCCCAACCCTTAGTTTATTTTAAGAGGATAGATTGCTTCATTACCACTCAAATCTGTTTTTGTTAGCAGAGGCACACTATTGTGACAGGTACAGGAGTTCATATTACTGTTTTTTACTAGTTTAGCTCTCTGATTTATTGGCAGAGAAGCTGGTTGTTCTGCTGGAATTAGTTCAAAGGTAACCTTGCTCTGTTTTACCTGGTATTTCTTTATTTCTGCAGTTATACTTAGCATTCTTCCAAGGTGGCAGAACAAGTTCAACACATGCTCCATTGATGTGACCTGTAAGACGATGCAGAAGTTTCATAAAAACTGAGAAGTAATGCTCACTTAGAGGTACAATAAAATGAAGCTAGTTTGAACCTGAGACCCCCAGTTTTCAACCAGCTAAACTACTGCTAAGTTGCAATATGAACTCTACAAGCCAGAAAAAAAAAATTGTTTTTTATGTACAGAGGCACCTTTTGGACTTCACAGTCAGATACACAAATATGCTGAACCCTGAGTGATACCGTTTAATTCAGTGAGTGCTTAGCTATTTTGAATATCAGGCCAAGAAAGAATAAAAAGATAGATGAATGTTCCCATTGAAGTCAATGGGAAGGGTGCCAGTGTTTTAAGAGAGGGCTTTCAGCCTGTTAGCAGAAATGGAAATAGTTCAGCCTGCTAAAAAAATGAACAAGGTAAATAAAAAAAAAAAAAAGCTAATGCCAAGATGGAACGAGGTCTATATTGTCCCAGCATGTGCATGTTAGGGGGCCAGGGGAACTGGTAGGTATCCAGTTTCTCATTTTTATCACTGTTAACAAGTATTGGCTTCTTGACAAGGACAGCAGACAGAGCACTTCACGGGGAGCTGAACACTTCCCGTTGGCCTCCCGTGATCTTGCACGGCTGCCAGCGGGGTGGAAGCAGAGAGTGTGCCCTGCTCCAAACCTGGCGGTGTGGCTGAGCATTGCCTGGGTGGTGAGCCCAAGAGCTTTCCAGGAGACTTCAGTCAGCAGGGGGGAACACACAGATTTGGTCAATCTGACTTTTTTCTTTTTTTCTTTTTTTTAAGTTAACAAGTCTCTCTCTGCATGTTTGACCTCCCCTTGTAATTAACACCTCTTAATATCTGTGAGTTTTGTAGGTCTTTATTAACATAATACTCAAGTTGTTCAAGGTGGGTAAATTGTGTGTGGATGGCTAGACTGCCTACCTACCATACTTTCAGGTTCTCTTACATTTTGCAAGGTACCTGAACTTTCTTTCCTTGATATGGTCCTTCATATGGTCCAGCCTATCTCTAATTTTTTTATTGTGATTATTTTTGCTCACGAACAAGTGTCTAATTAGGTCTGCAACAGCCCTAGTATGAGTACATAAAGTTTAGCATTTTAAATATCTTTCTTTACTGCAAGTTTAAATAGTTGTACAGATAGTTTATAAGCACAATATTTTAAGAAAATAAGTGGCTGGTCTACTGGGCAGCCTTTGTGCCACTTCAGTGCTAGAAAGTGAAAAACAACAAAAAAAAACTTTTGTGGTTTAATACTATTTCTGTGGAATAATTATAAAGTCTTGACCTTTTTAAAATCAACCTCATTTGGATGCATCTGAACCAGCAGAGCTGTGTTATATTTTCTATCTTTGCTAGAACTTCTACAAAGGAGGATGAATATTTCTTCAGAAGTGGTTATAGTTACCAATGCATTGGATACTCATAAAAAATAATAAAAAAAAAAACTTATTTAGCCTCCTGCCCCCTTTACGGAACAACAAATCTTTTGACTTAACATCTGTTACTACACTATATTTGTATTTGAAAGTTCCAAGTAACCTTGTAATAAAAATCAAATACTAAGGCATTTTACTTTCAAGAGTACTGAATTTTTCCATAGGTGTTGTAGAAAATGACAGTCTCATTCAGATAGTCAATACAGGCAACTTGAGGCCATCAGATACTTTAAGAAGTGTAAAAATGGTAATTTAGCCATCATTGTCTTCCATTTGGTGATATGACAGAATTCAGTAAATAAACCACTAATGCCATGCTCTTTTTTTGTTTCTTTGGGTACAGTTGATATTACCTCTATAATATGTGCCAGAAAATACATTAGAAACTACGGTAGTAAAAGACAATGTAGAAGTTGACTTTTAAGCTGCTTTTTACTCACAATCTTGTTGTTGGATTTAAGTTTAACACGTGCTGACATACACAGCAAATTACAGTTGATGGTAATCCCTTTCTTACACAGGTGTGTTTCTTGCTCGTGTATCTTTTCAGGTACTGAAAGCATAGGTACAATACCATTAGCAGAGAAGAGGTTTGAAACATTAAAGAGCTAATGAAATAGTTTATTTTTACATTGTGTCTTTCAAAGTAAACGTAATGAGACCTGAGAGGACCTACTTTCACCAATAAAATGCACCTCTGCCAAGATGAATCGGTCTCTAGCTCTGTTTGATGATTTTGCTACAGAAAGCAATAGTAACAGATACGACGTTGCCTCCGAGTATTTTCGTCAGTCTGGAAATGTTGGGGGGAGGAGAGAAGACCCTTTTATTTCATGCTACTATGATAGTGAAAAACAAGTTGTTAGAGATCTATGAAATACGTTATGATATTCTGGGTTTTAGGATCAACTTTTGTTTATATACTGTAATTTAAATAAATTGCATTTACATGCCTAGTTTCTGTAATATTTGTGTATACAATACCAAAATCTTACAAGATGTAAATTGTGTATAACTGCACAGACTCCTTTCCCTAGGTGTCTGAGAACATTTTAAGTTGAATTCATATATTATAAAATGACTAGATGTGACTGTTGATTTACAGAATTTACATATCACAAAAGTTAATTATTTGTGGTACTTAAGTTAATAAAAATAGTGATTTTTTTCTCAGTTCTTAAAAAGCATTACCCAGTTGATCTGGCGATGATTATGTGTATGAGCCACAAATATTGATAATTTTTCCATTACATTTTTTCTTTTCTTTTCTAGATATTAATATGTTTCTCGCTATAGTTTGTGTAACAACTTGTGTTCACGTTATCTATGTTGCTGTAATTTTTGTGCTTTAATTCCTCTTATTTTGACTGATTAAAAAATCAAGCTCCTGTAACTTGCACTTTTCCCCAATCCTTAATACTCTTGTATGGCAACCAAAATTACTGTAAGAAATAAATATAATATTGCACTAAGGTTGTGGTTCTGATTGCAAACAGAGAACACTGTCTGGATTTTTATTAAAAAAAAAAAAAAAAAAAAAAAAAGTTGCCAAACTTGCAATCTGATGTTGTATATTGAAAGAGCATAGAATGCTTTAACAAAATGTAGATAGAAATAAGGCAAAACCATTGATTTATTGTCAGGAAAAAACACTTCTTTTTTCTTTCTTTTTTCTTTCTTTTTTTTTTTTTCTGGTTAAAGCATTCTTTATGCTTCATATTAGTTTATTTACTGAGTTTGAGATCCATGTTTGAAATTTGACAGGTAAAAATATTTCAACAGGTGGTAGAAAATACTTATCTATTTGCCTTAAGGTGGGTTTCAAATAATCATTGAAGTTTTTTTCTTTGCTGAGCATGTGTGTGGGAATGCATGCTCTCAACTTAGTATTACTGGTAATATGAGGCACACAGCTGTGGATCTGTTCTGCAGTTTAATAAGGCACTGAAACGTTTGGGGGGCTGGAGCTTTTGTAGGCAAGAGAAGCTTTACGGGCAGGAGAGGAACCAGTGCTCCTTAGCAGAACTTGTGCCTCTGGTGCCTAAAAAATGTACCGGCAGGACATATTTGTACTGTGAATAAATAATGTTTGAAGTGGGGGAAAAAAAAAAAAAAGAAAAGAAAAAAAAAATCTTTTGCTTTAACTGTTTTTTCTATCTTTAAATGGTGGTACAATGAAGATTTTTTTTCTAAGATATTGGAATAAATGCCTAGAACTGTTGCCATTTGGTTTCACATGTTCCTTAAATATTATTCTCTTCCTCAGATGTTGTTCTAGTTCATCTTTTTTTGTAGTTACCTAATATTTCACTCGTATTTTTCCAACAAAATTACTTGGCAGCTTTGTTTTGTTAAGAAACATAGCAGGAAAAAAAAAAAAAAAAAAAAAAAGCGCCTTTGTTTTATTTCAGGTACTGTGGCAATCTAGTGATAAACACCTGTATATCTAAATAAAGTCAGGTATTTACAGAGCAAAACCAAGAGTGCTTTGCAGTTGTCAATGTTTTGTTGGTCAAAGAGAAGATTTTGCTCATTGCTGTTGTAGTGTACATTGTTGTGTTTTGTCTTGTTCTTGTGTTGTTTGTTTCTTTTTGTTTTGTTTTGTTTTTGTACTTTCATGCATTTCATGGTCTTTCATTCCTTGTGTCCAAAACCATGAAAAAAACAGTAGCTATGATGGGACATCCAGAATAGCAAGATAGTAACAGTACTTCAGAACATGGGATTAAAAAAAATAAATAAATCGCGTGCCTTATAATTTTCAACATAGATGAACTACACTGTATTTAACACAAAGAGCTTTATCTTCCAGGAATTACAGTATCTGACAAAAAGAGCTCATTGTGCTGTCTTCTAAAATGAGAAGTCCATATCACTGCATTAGGAAAAGTAGTTGGAAAAACTGAAATGATTTACATCTCACTTAAACACATTGTTGTCATGAAACTGATTTGAAGACCTTTGTTCAAATCTCGTAAATGGTAGGAGTGAGTGTAGGGTCAATGAAATGAGACTGTTATTTTTGGTTCAATTTACTACCATAAATATACACTTAGTTATTAATGTAGTTGACATGTACTGTGTATCAAAGACAAGGTAACAAAAATAAATGCAGTGGACGCATTCTGTAGTCTGAAGAAGCTGGTTCTATAACGCTGACATCTAGTGGAATGTGATGGACATAGTCACAGAGCAATATCTTAAAATATGTATTTATTTTAAACAATTGTCATTCTTTTACAAGAAGTCATTTTAGCTTTTTATTATTATTATTGTAAGTTGGCCTAAATATTTAAGTCAGAAAAAAAAGGCTGACTATAATTTTACGAATTATTCATTGAATGAGAAACCTTTAAAGAACTGCAATGTTTTTCTAGTCTATGTGTGGTTGTGTTTTAGCAATTTTATGTTTTAAATGTTAGCATCTCCATATGATCCTTCATCTGCATTGAGCATGTTTTTTAAATAAGAATGTATTTTTTGTCGCCAGTGCTGCAAACTTGGACTGTTTTGAACAATTTCAATCAAACATTGCAATCCGATGAACAACAGCTGTTTCAGATCCAACCTGCAAATGACTGCAAGGCTTTTAGATTAGGTATTAGTTCAGAATAGCTGGTGGATTTTTTATCAAATGTACTTGCAGAACTGACATTTGGTTTCTCAAGGAAAAAATTGTTTTCCTCATAACTGATGCTAGAAGGAATACATGCACGTGTGTGTGAGTTCTTGTATGCTTTTAATGTAAAGGTTCTTGGACAGCATTAGAAATCAATGTACAAATAGGACACCAGTGTTGCATGTGCTTACAAATGTATTGGAATAAATGTTGCAGTGTACCTTTTTGCTTTGAAAATCTGAAGAGAATACAATATACAGAAAACTCAAAATGTAATTCATGTTTTAATGGGTTATTTTCCACTGATATTTATGCATTATTTAATTGTCTCTAATCTCCTAGTTTCCTTACATACTTAAAAACATTTTAAAGCAATTTCTTAAAACTTGTGAAAGTCTTGAAATAGCTGAAAAGGAGGTTTGGGGGACATAATAGGTAACCTCTCTGCTGCACAGCCTTCTGAAGTCTTTGATTCACTTTCTTAAGGATGTTCTTCTTCAAAATAAATCCTGAGGGAAACATAGTGTTGTTACGAGGGTGTAAAAAATTCATGGCTCCCTAAATGAGCTCTCATTTGTCCATAATGGATTTTGAGAACTGCCAAGTTTGGCACTCCATTAAAAAGAAAAAAATCAGTGAGGAACTATTGCGATGATGTCTTTTGGTTTTCATTTTGATTTGACCTTGTTGGTGTGTTTTGAGGTCTGCTTTGAACCTAATATCAGCTCTTTCAAGCTGTGCAGGGATGAAGTCAAAGTGAGAAGTCAAAACCTCTTATTAGCGGAGAACAGATAGAAAGGTGACCAAAACAGAATTTGAAGTGTTGTTTACTTACTAGTCCACATGCAGTGCTGAAAAATAAACAAAAATAATTTCTTTTTCATCTGAACATGGTTGAATATGAGCTCTGTGTCCAATTGTGCATAAAATTTCTGAAATCTGTAATAATGGTCATTTTCTGCAATATAGGGAGCACCCAAAACAAGGGTAGGTGATTTCCAGAAGATATTTCGCAATTTTTAGAAAAGGTGTTTTCTTGCAGAGAAGAATTCTGCACAGGTGGTGTATATTCAGAGCAGAGCATTTATGCACCTTGCCTTTTAGACCTCATTTCTGCACGTTTCCTCACTCAAAGAGAGTGTTTTTATAATGCCTTAATACCCTCAGGCAGACTTCAACCCTTTAAAGAAAAGTCACTGGGCTAAAACTGTGTATTAACTGCTCGTGCTGATGAGATGGCTGGTTTATTCACAGGGAAGATCTTTACATCAAATTGCATCTTATACACTTGAAAGATCAGCGCAACACCTACAGGAAAGATGTGCTTGAACAAAGCACAGCGTACGTAAGCCTTGCCTTGAGTACATGGGACTCCTCTGTTGGAGCTGGCAGAAAGGAAGAGAAAACTTTGCCTCGATAAAGGCGTACATACATGTAATGTGTGGCCCTGAAGAAATTAAGGCATTTTCAAGGAGGACTGAGGACCTACTATGTGAGGGGGCTGAGGGCGCTCAGGAGAGCTCAGTCTGTGGTTGGTGCTGCCAGGATAGGTGTGGGACACAGCTGCGGGCGAGGTGCTGGCAGCGGGTGCTTACAGCAGATTTTTATGGCTCGGTCTATTTAACCAAGTAAATAGAAGGCTGAAATGAGATGTCTGCTTTTCCCACTCACGAGTGGGTGAACAGCCAGGAGAGAGATTGTAACTAAAAGGAACGTCAGTGCTAGGAGAGGATGTTACTGACAGACAACAAATAAGTTCAGGTTGGAAACTGGGAGAACGTCGCAACAATGGACATGAGGGATTTGCAGCTGGGAAGATCACAGTTCTGGCCTGTGCTACAGGAGCCTATAACTTATTTTACATTAGAAATAGTAATGGATTAATACTGGAGTACTAGATGAAACACCGGAGTGAAGAAACAAAACCCAGGATACACACATGGAAGATGCAAAACCTAACACAAGGCCAAAGTGTTCATAAATTTCAAGGAAGGCAGCTATGTATTGGCAGTAGTCTGGCTCAGGAAAGATAAAAAATAATACAAAACAAACAAACAAACAAAAAACTAGGAAGCAAACACCTGAATTTGTGTCACCTGAATCAGAGAGAAACAAATGTAAGATCTTTTTGAGAGCTTTGCCTTCCCCAGGCCTGTTAGACATCTTTGTGGCCATGAGTCCTTACACATTCCCCAGCACCTTCATGCTATCCAGACAGGGGATGCCCAGACAGAGGCACCTGGCCACCATTCAGAGTTATTTCCAGCCTGCGCCCCCTTTATTTTCATTGCCTGGCTGTATTTTAGCTGTGGGGCTCATTTGTGCTTGCCGAAGAGGAAGACCACAGCCTGGGACATTTTTCACCTCTCCCTCTGGAAGAGCTGGGTTTGGAGCTCTGGCACTGGAAATGCCCTGTCTCCTTTCCTTGCAGCATTTAAGAGAAATTTAAGAGAAAGGATTCTCACTTACGGCCTGTATATCTACCTTGCTTCAACACTTTTTTCTTATTTTATTTTATTTTTTTTCCCCAAGCAGTCTGGTGCTAGCTCATGCCTCCCCCTTTCTTCACATTAGAATAAACCTTGTTAGGGAAAGTACTAGGCTCAGGGTTTTAGTTCAGCTCATATGCAAGGTTAACAGGCAATTTGTAGCAATTTCTGTAAAGCCTAAAACAATTTCTAGCAAAAAATATAGATTTTCATATTATTTCCCACCATTAAATAACAGATGAAGGAACCATTCTAACCAAAGGATGCTCCATCAGATAGGGAAGGAGACCCTACCTATTTAACTGTGATAACATGCTATGAAGAATGTATTTTTGGAGATTGGTGAGGCAAAAACAGTATTAAGAAATGAGCAGAAACTGGGATGTGATTGTGGATGATTCACACCCCCTTAATGCTTATCAGGGTGGCCATCCAGCTGGATAATAACAATATCTCATGGTATTTGCTCATATAGGTAAAACTTGTGCTTTCGGTGCTTCAATTATCTGAGACTCCTGGGTTTCTTTTCAGAGTAAGTTTTCTCCCTGGACATTAAATGGAAGCTTGAAGAATTTCTCCTGCAAAATAAAACAAGCTCCTTCTGGTCTATCTACAAGTCTAACGCCTGCTGGAGGGCTGGGCCGGTGACCTGCCTCGGGCAGAGCAGAGGAGGAGCCACCCCATGCAGGCGCTTCCCAGAGAGGCTGCATCACCGCTGCCCAGAGATCTCTGTAATGTTTCTGGAGGCAACTGAATGACTTTTTCGCCCAGGACAGGATTGCAGAGGGATGCAGGCGAGTACAGGTGCAGGCAGGTGGCTGATGCCTGCTTGTGCTGATGAAGACGAAGGTGGAAACACTCAAAGAGGACAACAAGCTTGTCTCCAGCTGGTCAGCAGTCACCAGACCTTTTTTACTCAGAACAGTTTCTTTTTCCTGACAGCTCTTGCACTTCCTGGATATTCCTCATTTTTCATCTAATGCACTCTACTTCACATTAAGTATGTTTCCATGATTGCTTCCAAACAAAACTTTTTAAACAACAAACAAACAAAACCACAGATGCATTGGCAAACAGCGTGCATGAGTGAATTCTTCCAGGCACAGCTAAGACATTTATATTCAGGGAAGGTATGTGCATTCTATGTGGTAAGGTGCGGTAGCAAGGTATTATTATCATATATTATCATTAATACATATATAATATTCATTTTGAAAGCTAGCTAATTTTAACAATAGGTATAAGTGATGGGGAAACTTTCCTGAGCCGAGCCTGTGGTGTCACAGGCTCCTGAGTGTGCCAGGTCATAAGGGCATAAGCACAGAGTGAAGCCTGGGCACAGCCACCCCTCCTGCTGCCTGCCCAGGAGTGATGGGGAACCTGGGGACTGCCCCAGGCAGCAGGACAGGGGGACAAGCACAGCCTGTGTGTGCAGGGAGATGCTGCTCACAGAGTGCATGTGATGCAGAGCAATGGACAGAGTTGTCCAGACTGGGAGTGTTGGTTCTGCGGCCAAGATCTGCTGGGCATAACCCCTTGCTTTTGCTTTCTTTGTGAGTGCACGTAGAGTGCTCAGTTCCTGACTTGAATCATCCTTTGTCAGTTTTGCTTACTACCTCGGCTAGCAGGTACTGCTACTGCCCACGATTCTTGATCTTAATTTGGTAAGGGCGGCTATTTCTAGTCATATATGCCTAACTATTAAAATCAGAAGCAGATGTTAGAAGAGCAGTGTTTATGCATCAGGGCTAATAAAGGGCAGGACTTAATCAACCATTTCTAATATGTTTAGAGTCCTTTGATATAAAGAGCATTTTCCTTTATAACATGGATATTTACAACTTCACTGTAAGAACATTTGAGTTTGTATCAATGCATAGTTTTCAGCTTGAAAAGCCGAAGGCCAAAACTAACATCTAAGGCTTACAGAAGGAAAAGGTTATTCAAGTGCAAATTAGCAATTATGCAATTTTAAAAGCAATAGAGTCAGGTAGAACAAGCTCACTGGAGAATTTATTTCCACATTGCAAAGGAAATAACACCCAATATTTAGTAGAGAAATGTTATTATAAACTTGGAACACTACCAGCCTGTATTTGAGTTCTTATATTACTACATTAAGGAAGATTTTGGTCGCCTTTATTTTTATGAGGGCTTTGTTGACCACATTAAGGTTTCCTGCACTGTTGTGCAAATATAAGGGTGCCAGAGCCCTAAGAGGTTTAGTTAATCAAGACTTTTTCTTGCTGGCATAAATAGTTGAATTCAGGGTAAGATGATACATGCAGTAGTTTACATTTTACCAGAAATGGTAATAGCACTCTTTGTTCCTGGGAATAGAAATTGATCTTGAATTTGAGCATAAAGCTACTAATGCGTATTAGGCTGGAACGTGTGCAGGCCAATGTCCAGGGCTGTTTGACACAGAGGAACACATAAGCTCAACTAATAGCAACATTAATAACAATGATAGAGCAGAAGTAGTACACATGGTAATGAGCACATATCTACCCAGTACCATGTGGGTTAAATAAACATATACCATTGAAGAAAATTAGTAAGCAGATGAGCTAGGACATGGAACAACACACTTAAGGCGAGGGGGCCCAACAGACCTGAAAAACATGTCCTAGGGAAAAGAGCTGTGCTCGCTTGGTATTTCCCAGCATGGCAAGGGAGTAATAGCAGATCTGGCACGTAAAAGAGCTCAGCTTCATTCAGTAAGAGATGGTAGCTTGGCTTTTCTGGGTTTCTAGCAGGAAATACGAGAGCTCCAGCATTGTTTGC